GTATCTGGTATGTTTTCTCTCATTCCCCGGCCTAGGATTTGTCTATATTGTCTCCTCGATAGACTTAAATATAGAACGAGTAATTTAACTACATTATATTATTTAAGTTAAGTTTATACGCTTTTTATACTAATATAAGAATATCGTATTGGTACAAACGACAAAAAATCGAAATAAAGAATTGAATTAATATTAAGATGTGTCGGGTAGATACAGTTTTCATTTTTCTGAACACTAATAAGTTAATAATACAAAAGCAACTGAATTTAGTGATGACTTAAATTTCAGAATAAATAAATGGAAATCATTTTCAATTTCGTTCAGTTTGAAATTCGTATTATTTTAATAAATATTTAAATAAAGTTATAGGCTTGGTACAATACTTTAGCACATCATTTTTTACTCGTAAAGCTTTCTCGTCTGGTATAAATAACTGATTTCTGTTTATAAATTTCAAATTATCCGTGAAGGCTAAAAAAGTTGAACATCTTTTATATTTTTTAATAATAAATGTCGATTTCTCCTTTCAGTTTATTTATTTTATGAAACTCTAACAAAAACCAAACGACAGTCGAAGTCATAAAATTGATACCATGGTTTAGTCATCAAAGGAGTCCATATACTCGTATACAACTATTTACTGTATTTTGAAATATGATACTGCACTATTGTCATTTCTCCATGACTAGTGACACTCTGTTTGACCATGTGCTTGAGAAAAGAAAAAAAAAATATCATATACTCTCAAAAACTGTATTGGATGACGTGAAAATAGACGGTCCACAGTATAGGGAAAGTATCGACCTTTGTGCGTAAACCGTCGTCCGCGTTAGGTCTTAACCGTCCCGTTGCCAAGTTTTCACTGGTGCCCTTCCCTCTCTTTCGTATATTTTTATTTTTTTGTTACTCCCAAACTTCTCGCTCCCCCCCCCCCCGTCTCTTATCCCCGAAATAATCCTTGTCAACTACACCCTACCGGACTCGACGCAAGCTGTGGCGAGCGGAGTGGTGGTGCAAGATAGTGACCGATATAATATAGAATGCGCGGTGGCGGCGTCGTGTGTTCGTCGCCGTGTCCTTAATCTTTCCCTCCCGCTCGCACTGCGAAAGTCCACAAAATGTAATCCAACGATATTTTCTTGACCCCGAAAAAAAACCCTCTAACCCACACACGAGTCGGAGACCGAAGTATTTGGGGTGATTATTTTCAATCTGAGCGCACGTAAAAAAAATAAAATAAATAACGCTTTCCTGCTGTATGAAACGGATACCTACGCGGTTGGAATGATCAATTCGTCTGTGCACGGAGTAAGTGAGCAACGGAGTTCACTTAAAACGATGTACGCGTTTCGGAATCTCGTGGTATGACCAGATTACGCCCTTGGGAGTTAAATGTGTTGCTGCTCCTCCGGCTGATTGATAATACACACATATACAGTGACACGAACATGATATCTACACGAGGGTCTTATCCCGCACAAATAATGTTTTGTGTGAGCCTTTTATATTATATACAAAACACCACAAACCAGTGCGTTTTACAAACGGATTTTCTGTATGCATACGTATATATGGGCATGTTTTACGTGTGCACACAATAATAATATGTTTGGGGTATGATACGTGAGTAGTAGTGATTAATAAGTAGGTACTTATAATTATTATGTACCAATATAAATTAATTTCATCCGTTGTTAATGATATAAAAACGGAACGATATGGTTTCTTAGGGTTTAAAATTTAAATTGACTCGTTCAGTAAGTACCTAATCTATGTAGGTATGTGAATTGTGGACCATGATGATTATAACATATTATTTAGCCGGGTTTATTTTATATTGATGTTTTAGTAGAAAAAAATAACATCATTATAGTTAATGTGCTTCATAATATTATTTTTTTTATCGCGTTGATTGCTTAAACTAATATATTTATCGCGTTGACTAATATTAACGGTGTGCGTATTTTAAAATACGAAATCGTCCAAAAATGGGTTGAAAATGTACATTTTTGTAGTGCACCCTTTTCCCCCATTCAGGAAGTTTTAGTAGCTTATCATTTATATGAATGCGTGTAAAACAAAACTGGCTCTGCGGCAGGACAAATTGCGGTCACCGATGGTCATTATTTTCATTTTCAGCAGCGTACGTGGCGTCATCGGAAAAACGGTCAATTTATGGAATATCATATCCATATATCTAATATCTTCAGCGCCCAATGTCCCTCTATATCTGTCCGATTTGATTTATGTACATTCGCCGGTACCTTCCTCCTGCCATGCCACCATAGGCAATTCATATGTCCCTCGCGAATAAAATACACTTTGCGAGGATATATTTCGCGTATTTATTGCTCTCTCTCTCTCTCTCTCTCTCTCTCTCTCTCTCCCCCTCTCCCTCTCATTCTTTCTCTCTCTCTCTATCTCCCTCTCTCCCTCCCCTCCACTGTCTCTCACTCATCCTATATATTTCTCTCTCCCATTTCATATATCTTTATCTCTCTTCTCTAAAAACTACAGTGTTGATCAATAAAAAACAGTAACAAATAAAAATTGGTAACATTTCCTTTCTCCCGTAAAGAAGTGGGAAATCTTTGTTTCTTTATTTTTCGTGTTATTATTTTTTTTTCCGTTCATGCGGTAAGGTATAGTATAAGGCTTATTTACATAATGGCATCTGGCCAAAAGTGGATGAAACGAGCTTGCGCGATCAGTAGCAGCAGCAGCGGACGTTATGATAAATGACGTGAGTGGTGGCTATATACCGGTGGCCGCCACTGGCCCCGCATTCTCTGGGGAACAACCCCTCGTGTGAAAATTATGCCCACGTTACGTAGGAAATCCCGTTGTTTTCACACTCGAAAAGTTCCATACTACCTTTACATTAGCATGAAAAAGAAGAAGTGGACGTCGGTTTTCAAAATGTTTCAAAAGAATATTTATTTATTTGAATAACGTTTTCTTGTTCTCTTTTTTTTTTTTCCCCCTCGGATAAAAACGTAAACTTTGCAATATTTCACGGCATAAACTTATTTGATTATCCATCATGTGTGTTTGAAAAGAAGCGGAAGAAGAGGGACGTGCGCACGGCGAAGATAATTTTATTAGGCTTCGGGACGAGCGTGAATGTGTGACACTACACGCACACCGTACACACAATTTCGACACACCACCACCGGGCGCGTATACGACGGCGTGGCAAGTTACGTAACGAACGATTCAGCTGTATATTTTTTCGGTTTAAATTAACTTAGCGAGTGTCTTAAAAAGTTTTCCACTCGCATTTCCTCCTCCGATCCCTCGTGCGCGTTTTGTAAAGGATTGTTTTAAAGAGGCTTGTGCGCGGGGCACACATAGTTCAGTAAACGTTCAAAGTTTCAGTTATCAGGTTCTGTTTTGTTCGATGTATGTACCTGTATATGTGTACATGTGCGTGAATAATACGTACACGTAACGTTCGCCCTTAAAATTCACAATCTCTGGGAAAATGTTAGATGCACATATATACATATACATATGTACGTAATGTGTATGTGCGTATCGCAACGGCATCAATTTCCTTGGCAGTGTCGTTTCGAATATTATATTATAATATGGTTATAGGTGGTATACCCACACGACTGGTAAAGTGTATTGTAGTGGTATATTATTATGTACGTGCAATTAAGTCGTTACGCGTTAAGTCGCGTTTTATCGATAACAATAATCGTTATAACGTCTCAAATTAAGTTTGTTTGTTTTTACGTCATTTGAATATTGCAGTTATTAGATCAAAACTTTCGGAATTTGCAGATCTCGTGAAATTCGAAATAACAAGTGGGTACATTATTTTATAACTGTTACAGCTGTCCGTTGAGATATTGTTTTGACTGTGGTGTATTATATTTAGGTGCCGGTTTAAAGAATCATAACAGACCTAAAAAACTTAACACTGCTAATAGTGTCTGACAGAAATCTTGGAAAAACGTACGCATTAATTTTCAGCAAACCGTTATTTATTCATTAGGTATATTATTAATTACTTTCCTATTTAAAAAGTCGGTACTAAGGTGTTTCTGAAAAACGTTTATTTGTCATTTAGTCGACGAGGAATAAAAAAATTAATTACATTTGCAAATTAATGTATTTCATAATAGAGTAGAAATATCAAAGGCAAATTATCATTATGTAAATTAATTTTTTTAATTTAATTATTTTTCAATGAATAAAATCAACGATTTTAAAATTTGCATAGTAATAAATAATAAATAAATCTTATTTTCCGAACAATAATTCGTTTTAAAAAAAGTAGGTATACCTTTGTTTTATTTTTTCATTAATTATTGATAAATTGAAAACATTTAATTAGTAATTAATTATCGTAAAATGTTATGCTTAATAAACATTATTTTATGAACTAATTATTTTGGATCTCGGAACTTGCAGACGTTTTAAATTGTTCGTGTTTAATGTGAATTAATACATTGTTCTTAAAATTGTTTGATTTCTTGAAATACATTTGTCTAAGTTGTATAAGAGTTTAATGTTAAATCAGAGTATTTGTAATAATATCGCACTACGTACTTTTAAGTTTGTTTTTGTGTTTGTCCGACGCGAAAACGATTGTTACAAATTCATTATATTATTTTTGTTATTAACCAGACTCATTTCATCCAGATTATCACCGATATACACAATCCTGTAAATTGTGTATATTATTTGTTCATGACGGTACGTCGACAGTCTTTTTAATCTTAAATTACCGTAATTATTTAATTAGGCGTTGCAGTTTGTACGAACACATAATTTATTCATATTAAGTCGACAATCGTGACCATATTCCAACATAATAATATATTTCCGTTTCAACGCATTTCTCCTTATAATAATTGATCTTCACAAATCAAGTGGTTGATTTCCGTTTACGGTTGTGTATTGTCATCGTCGTCGTTTTAGTATACAAATGCGAATATAAACAAAACCATTTGACACCCCCCCCCTTTCCTCCGGGAAAACGAGGTTTCATGACGTCATTTAGTTACGGTTCTGGCGCCTTAACTCGACGGGCAAGTGGAATTAGTACGTCGGTCGCTTTTAATCCCGATAACACGTCAAAATGCATCAGTCATGGAAAGTCGGCCGACCGTACTCCGGGACTCCGGGGGGATAAATTAGTTTTTGACCAATTATCTGGTATTAGATGGCAACAGGGGAACACCGGTGGTATGGATAAAGTGGTTCAATGGAAGATCGTGTCAACTGGCTCCAATGGTAGTCAGCTAGTGGACTGCAGCTATGTCACGTCGTCGTGTCGTAGCATAATCGATTAAAAAATATCTCACCATCTTTACTACCTATATAATGTTATATAATAATATGTAAGTATCAAGTAGGTACATATTTGCTATTTTTTCAAAAATATATGTCTTATATCTGAAAAAAATACAGAAATAATGTTTCAGCGTTTCACACAATATTCTTTTTCGTTTGGTTAAATACAGTCTTTAGATCAAGTGAATTCATATAGGAATTTTAACCTCACGAAAAGAATTGATCAAATACCTTGTATTTCGTGGGTTATTGTTTTCTTGTTTCACATCCAAGTCAGGTTTTGGTGCGTGAAAACCATTCGCAGAGTCCATTAAATTTCCAATTACGCGTTCCACACGCACATAACAACAGAAACACCCTTTTGGCCTTTAGCCATATTTTGTAACCCTTTATATATTATGGTCCCTTATGATTGCGTTATAATTTCTCATGCATTTTTTTTGTTTTTTTAAATATTAATTAGTATAAAATGTTTCAAAATTTCTAAATTTGAACAATTAATATGGAAATATTTATACGTAAAACTCATTTTAAAATAGTTGGTTTATTTTTAAAATTTATTATAGATGCATATTAGGTAGGTACTTCAAAAAGTTTAATTCCCATTGTGGCCTAATAAACGTGTGCAAATTATACGGTTCGAATAAGTAAATAATAGTACTATTTTATTTTTATTTTAAACTTAAATATAAGAGTCATAGTCATGTATAAAATTGTATTTATTGGTTTCTATTTATTTTAAAAGTTTCCGTTGTGGTTTCAGAATGGAATTCAATCAAATCTATCCATCCTACACCGTCCTAAAAAAATAAAATTAAAACTGTATTGGATTGATCGACTGTTATAAAGACTAAAAATTGTAATTTGTCTTCAAAAAACTGTGTTGTCTTTATTTTTAGTTGTTGCTAGAAGCCCGACTATTTTGTTCTTAAATTGTTAAAATTTTGTACGATTAAGTAATAATAGTACCTATTCAAAATATTACAAATAAAGTTTTGAAAACTCAACTTCCCTATTTTTTTTTGATAAGTGCTATAATAACAATAATTATTTACATATTTCTGAATGTTACCTATAGGTTTTCATTTGATGGATCCGCCTATTTGAAATTAATTGTGTTGGTACAAAATATATTAAAAATGCAAATCGCGTTCATAATTAATGTAATTTAATAAACATGATGTAAACACATATGGGTATTTTTTTATTTTAAACTTGCTAATATAAATGGGTTTTAATAAACATAATGCAAACACATATATATGTGTTACGGTTTAAACTTGCTTATAACCAATAACTAGCTTTAATTGTGTTAAAAACTATATTAGGCGTTAGCACTTTATAACATACATGCTGCATTGCTGCTACTAACATTTTTAATTTATTTTTACATTATTTATAAAGGTACTATTAAAAATTAACTACCAACGTATCACGTTTTTGCCATGTGTTATTTAAAATATTTGGCTTCTTAAAATTAAATGTCTCCCTGTAGTCACCTTATATTATTATTGCCTTTATCATTTGATATATATATATTTATTGATCTTTGTCAAATGTTTCTACTTCATAATAATATAAATTAATATTTTTTGGTATCCCAATACCTGTTAAGTATAAATGTGCATTAGCGTAGCGTAGTATTTTAGATAATATATTATATTTCTAATAGAAATTGTTATTTTACTATTATTAGTGTATAGTTAAGTTTGTGTAATTATAGTAATAGGTATTTGTTCAAAAATAAAAAACGCAACCGATAAACATTGCAATCAAAGTTAATACTCAATACTAATTTCAATTTCAATCAAATGTAACCAACTATGTATGAAATGTTTGCACAAGACAGCGGTGATAAGAAAGTGTATATAAAGGTGATTTTTGCTTCTGAAAAAAAAACCCAACACAAATTGGCAAGTGGTTGTGCACTGGGTTTTTGTCGTTTTTGAATTCGATAAATATATATTGAAGTGCGGTTATCTTGGACCGACAGGTCTCGTATGATGCAATACCAATTGACAAATGATCATCGGTATATGACGATCAAATACCCTCGTCAACAAAATGTAAAAGAAAAAAGGGTCTCTTATCTAAAATCAATGAAAATCTATTGAGGTTTAGCTTTCCTCGTTGGCCAACGGTGTGTTTGAAAACCAGCCACGATTTCGCTTCTTCTGTGACCCCTTGACCCTATATATGGATGTGTGCGTGTGTGTCACGACACGATTAGGTATGGCCAACGATTATTTTTAATCAGCTCCATTATTATTTAAAAACAACGTATTCGAAGGTTTGAATATTTTACGTATTTCTATAAACAAGTAGTATTATTTACTTTGTCTAATTTCAAAGGAAATTTTTTATTTAAATTTTATTTTTAAATTTTTATATTAATTACTTGGCCGATTTAGAATCTCGTTAAATTCAAACCCCCAACCATTTCACTAAGTAAACAAATTATAATACCTATTATAAGTATATTATATTGACGGTATAGTATAATATACCTAGTCTACATACTATGTATTATTACAATTTAACGATGAATACCTACATATATATTATAATTTGATCATGTCATTAGTTTTTTGAAAACAATACGGGTTTAAGTTGAGTGTACCTACAACAGTTACCGATCTACAAACTATAAATTATAAAATATCAAGTATAACGCATTAACGTACTAACTATATAGGCACGTATAATTTTTTCCACCTATAGGTAATGTAGATACTATTATACTTAAAAACACGATGAGGCAAGTTTATATTTTATAAACTTGCCTCATCGTGTTTTTAAGTATAATAGTATCTACATTGTTGATAATTGTATTTTTAAAATAAAAACCGTTCAACGCGCCTACCTATTAACGATTCCATGACATTAAGAGGACGACGGATTATCGTCGCGTATACGCTGCAGTATTACGATTTTGGTACACGATATCATATTATATGAAACGAATCATAATATATTATTAAAGTTGTTCGTGTATCCCTTCATACCGTACCTTCCGCAGTGTCATTATAGATGTTACTAATACCGCGCCATTGTGTATACGAAAGGAGCATTAGAAAAGAAAATTTTTCAATATATATGAAATGTCCGGCCGAAAGTTTTCTTCGATTAGGATGCTGTAGACCATTTACCCGCCGCGCACCGTCACAACGTGGAAACGTGACGTCAGAGCTAATGGACGGTGGCGGCAGCGGTAGTTGCGGATTTGGAACGTGTAATTCGTTTAAGTTCGAGGCGAGGACAAAAAAAAGAAAAAAAAAAAGAGGGGAGAAATTGTTGCCACGGGGTTCGATCGATACAAGAAAAATACAATGCGTTATAGTTTTGTGTCTGTCGGGCTATATATTCCCGTCAAAATAAAACTATTATATCGAAAATAATTGTAATCACTTTTGAAAAACAGAAAACACGTTCGAGTCGAGTTAGAAAATAATAAACGCGTTTGATATGACCGTAGGTATTATTATGATATTATCGCCAATAATACATAGACCGACATGTAGAACGGCGACACGGTCAATGAATGATTTGAAATAATTCAAGACGAAGTAAATATGTTATGTGAGTATACTTAAAATAAATCTCCTTTCGTTTTTAATTAAACTCAGAACTTACTAATGTAATCAAGCATTTAACTCGAATTATACAGTATGGTAATTTTATTATGAACAACCACATATTATTTCTTTGAGATTCTCTTTCGGTTGTTTGTATAAACAATGTTACGAGCGAGTTAGTCAGGCCATATTTAATTCCATTTATATTTGGTACCCACGGTATTTAGTTTTATGCGAGTTATATAAAATATTATATTACAATTCCTAAAGATGATTCGTGTGTTATCTGTGTGTATAATTTAGGGATTTTGAAGTATTTCGGTTTTTAGATTCTGAGTAAAACTAGGAATTTATTGATTTTACAATGGGTTTTTTTAATTTTATTTGTGTCTGCGTATACAATAAGTAGTCGAAATAATGCTTTGATTTTCAACTTCAGTATCTTGTTCGATTGGAAAGTGAATATCATTTTCAGTTTCCAATTTTATTAGTTTTTTTTTTTATGAATATGAAAAAAAATTTTTTTTGTTGAGTAAAAATAATTGAAAATTTAATACAAGCCTATTACTATATTGTTACATTGACATTTGAAAAATATTAAAGATCCTTAGTCACTTTTTTTTTATAAGCATTTAAAGTTCAAATCTTGACAGATTCTGGAAGATGTGATGAAGAATGATGAAGAATTGACAGATGATGGAAAAATCACGAAAATTAGCAAATTATTTTGAGTTAAGAATTCTTAAAAAAATTTTTTTTATTTCCAAGATATTTGCATTTTCTATACACGATAACATTTTCAAAATATTTTGAACTGTTTAGGGACATTTTCATTTTACATTTTTTTTTTAGTTTTTTTTCTAAAAATATCAATAAAATGTTATTTGTAAAAAAGCATGAAAATTCAATAGAACGCTCCTAGTATATTGTTTCAAAGGCAGATAAAAAATATAAAAAATCCTTGTTCACAGTTTTTTTTATAAGCATTTTAAGTTCAAAAATTGACAACATTTATCAAATTTAAAATTTAATAATTATTTTGTAGTTAATAATTTATAAAATGTTCAACTTTTATACCTAAGGATTGAAAACTAAAACAAGATTCCACGTGAGTAGTTAATTCTGTTACCAAAAATCTAAAAAATACATAAGCACAGTTTATTTTTATAGTCATTTTAAGTTAAAATTTTCACGAAATTACATAATAAAAAACCTAGAATAACTATTTTAGTTATTTTGTTGTGATTGTATAATATCATTCGTGGGTACTTGAAACTTCTAAAGTACATTATTATATATCTATGATAGTATCAGGGTTTGTTGTTGATGTATAACGCATTATAAGTGCTTAATGGATATTGTGATATGATTAATTTGGAATTTAATATAAGTACCTATTATAGGTCAATTTTTTTTAATACCAT